TTTTTAGTGAAAAATTAGGCTCCAGAAAAGCATTAGCTATTAAATATCACGAAATAGATTCTAATATAAATTGCATCTAAAAAAATAACAGACACTAATACTAAAAAAATGTATGATACATCTTTTATTTTATATTATTTTTGTTAGCAAGAAATAATTTTTTTTTCGTTTTTCAGATCGAGAAAAAAATAAAAAAATCTTAACATGCATCACATATTGACATTGCATAATAATAACATAAGATTCAAAGAACTTCATATTATTAGATTCAAATATTCATACAACATTACATTTAAATAATGCGAGAGTTTAAAATTACCTCGCTGCGAAGATGGATATCACGAAAAATAACTTCTATGATCTGCTGATTTGAGCCACGAATTTGGAACCACGACAAAAAATACTCTAACTCTCACCTAATTCTCAAAAGAATGACTCACTTTTCTTCCTCTATATATTTCTCTCTGTATTTCTCTCTTTTCCTCTCTGTATTTCTCTATATCTGTGTATTTGTGTATCTGTGTATTTTTTTTTCTTCTCAACTGAACGTGTTTTTATAATAATTTTGGCTGAGAGTTTGGTGCTAATTAAAAGGAACGTAATAGAGTTGGATTAGAATTTAATTTAAAATATTGTTGAGGGGTTTGGGGTTGAGATAAGGATGGATATAAAATAAATAAATAATAATAATAGAAAATTAAATAAAATAATAATAAAAAAAATTAAATGGACGTCCAAAGAGAGAGAAGAAAAAGAAAAAAAATAAAATAATAAATGGGATGAGAATTTTTAGTAAAAAAGTTAGGAAGATTGGAATAATTAGGATAAGGGGAAGGTAATTTGAATATTTAGGACTCCCCTTTTTTCTTATTCTACCATTATTTTTAAACTAATTAAAAGTTGAAGATTTAAAACAAATACCATAAATTCATAATTTTTATTATTAAAGTAATTTACACAATTTATTTATTTTTTATTTATTTTAAATATAACCCTTTTTTAAAAATTGGTATTTGACTCTTTATATTTTGGTAATAAAATTAGGTGTTCACAATAATAACCTCTACACTACCAACCGACTCAAATAGTGTACTCTTTATTAGTATTTACATTTGATTGAGTTGAACAACTTTACCCAACAGAGCTAATAGCTGAAACCAATTTCTGATAGAAGTCTATAGGTCATTTTGTTTTATCAACAGAAAAAAAAAATCAACAAAAATATGTTATACCAATCAAGAGTCTGATTGAAGTGATACTACATATTCTTAAGCTTTCAACTATTAAATGTTTTTCAACTATTGACACTAAACTACTAATTTCTATTCCTGTATTGTTGTGACTACTATTCTTAAGTTTGTACGCTTTCCTGTTACTACACTTCTACACTTCTGTAAGTTTTACTATTTTCTTTTTTTCCCCAATTCTTTTATGCTATTGTGAGAAGTGTCAAAATTTTCATGTGAAAACCCCAAATTTTAGACTAAATAAAATGGGAATTTTCCAACAATCGCTACTCACCGTTGATATGACAAACGGTGGCAAGTCTAACGAGAAAATTTACTCAAAAAGGATTCTGGAAGTAAAGCACCGGAAGAGTTTAATTTAATGTCTGTGTTGAGTGTTGATATTAGCTCAAAAAAAGGAGAAAATGGAAATGATAATATACACATTCGAATTTTGTAGATATAGTTATATGAGATTGAATAAATTTGGTCAATTAGGCTAGAAAAAAGCAAATAAGTGTGTAGTGTAAAAAGTTGATGCAGTATCTAAGTTTGCTCCATTTTACTAAACTTTGGACTTCGGAACCTCAAATATTAATTAGATTTGTGGTATAAGTTGCTCGGTTTACTGTTGAGTGATTTGAAGATTTGAGTCGAGAATTTTGAGGTTTTAAGTTTAAATTCTAATGAAAGCAAATATATTAAGTGATATATTCCATATTTTTAAGTTTTAGTTGACAGAGTTATTTAATAACTATCTTTGACTTAGAAGGGTGCTAGGTGAACTTAGTCGATGTAGTGAGGGTGTTATGTGAAATTAATCGAGGTACACACAAGTTAGAAATAGTAAAATATTGTGTAAGATTAATTGAGGTATGCATAAGCTAATCCAGATACCACATTATCAAAACAAATCTTGCATGTTTAAAAAGGAGTCCTCCCTATCATAGTTGTACAAAATAGTAGAACTAAGTACCAAATAGCACCGGCTGATTGCCTAGCAAATAATACAAGGTTCAACTGCAGTAGACATCTAAATCTCATCTATGGCATGACATGTAGCAAAGGACTACTTGAACACCCTGTGATACATGCCTTCATCATAAACTGTACAACAGTTTAATTTCAACTTGAGACTAACAAGACTAGCAGTATATGCAACAACGTACCTGATGTAATTCCACAAGTGTGATCTGAGGAGGGTAGTGTGTACACACAAACCTTACTCCCTACTTTGAAGTTAAAGTGATTGTTTCCGATAGACTAACATCATAAGCACCAATTGAAATATGAAGGAAACAGGCAACATACTTGTGCATGACTCAGTATACCAGCAGTTCTTACTGAGTATTTGTAACCCCCAATCCCAAAATAACACATTCCACTCAGTACAAATAATTACAACAAATCCTTTAAGTTAAAGAAGCTAACATGAGTAGAATAGTTGAGGCATTGTAGAGATTGTGTAAGTGTAGGTATTGAGTTTAAGCTCGATTCATTTGTAGATTTTGTTGAATACGTATAATTTGTTGACTGTCATTGTAGTTCTTTCTAAGCAAAATGTAGTAGGTATTGTAATGGATTTTCTATTTGTAATTCCTATTTTATCCATGAATACTTATTTACATCTTCTGATCTATTCCATCCACCTGGTCTTGGTATTGTAAATCTCACTTCTTTGTTTACACTTCTTTTGTACTTTTGTTGCGTCTTTTTTTTTAAAAAAATAAAATTTATATTACATTTTTTAGTAAAGTCAGCAGTTGAAGTTCTTTTCGCATCAGGGAGGCACTGGTGTTATCGCGCTGTTTCAAACAGATTCTACAAGCCATAATCTATATGCCAAATCACCAAGTCCGACCAACTCCAATGAAATTTTGAAACTTATAAGTGAATTTGGAAGCGCATCTTTAGATTCATAGTTGTTTGACATTTATCCATTTTCTAAAGATAACATAAGTTTCTCTTTTTGTTCTTTTTTAGGTGCATGATGCAGAGAAGTGGAAACTAAATAACTATTGTGGTATTAATCGGAAAAGAGATGAGGCCAGTTTGATTAAGCATCAGGCAAAGACAACTTCATTGCTGGCTATAAAGTTGCATGAGGTGACTGAAAGACTGCCTATCGACGAAGGTGATGTGCCATGCACGAATGATTTACAAGGAGTCAATTAAAGCACGAGCATCTCACACGATAACACAATACTATTCGCAGGTTAGTTTCGAAAGGTCTATGAAATAATTATAGTTACAACAACAAATAGAAATGAAAAATATAAACAGTAGTAGTAGAATTATCATGCTGAAAACTGGCAAAATCCTTATAACTGTGATTTGTGAACTCTGTGTTTGTTTTCTTTACTAAAGAAATGAGGATGAGAAGCTGAAATTGATTTTTTATTACTATATCAATTCTTTAATAGAGAAAGTGAGTCACTGCAGTGTGAGTTGCAACATACATTGAGTGTGATATTAGTTGCTAAATAAACCTTTGTCTTGGTTTATCTACTCAATTTGATGAGATTTGAGTTGTTGAAGTTCCATATTCTAACGGGATATTGAATATTGCTTTTGCAAATTTTATACATTTCTTTCAAAATCCTTCACTGTGCATGTTTAATGAAGAGAACGGCAAGAAAGTGAAAGTTGTAATTGTTAAATTCATTGAGAAGATTCATTGTAGCAAAGGCACAACTAGAATTCTGACTCTTATGTTTTATGGTTGGTGAGGAAATAGAAACCATGAGAATCGTTTAAGTTAAGATTGTTTATCCGTTAATATATATGCGCCAATTTTTTCATTCCTTTTTTCCTTTCAAAAGTGACTTGTATTCCATTTGGTAAGGTCCTTGAATATTTTTGGTTTGATTATCTCTTGCTACAACACATCTAATTAAATTGAAAAATTAGTACGCTTAGCTTCTCATACCATATGCATATTTGTATTTTGATCCAAGATGACATTGCAAGTCATTTATTCTATTTTTTTTTGCAGTTATTCAAAATTTTCATCTACAATGTCGATTATATGAAGATAGAAGCACTATCACATACCTATTTGCAGACCAGCCTTTTAGAGTGTTACCTATATTTATTACATATATAAAATTTAGTGTACAAATAATTTATTTTCCATCGTCATTTTTTGGGGTTAAAATTGATCTTATTTCATTATTTGTACGAACAAGTCAATGTTGAGCCCGCGCTTGTCATTCTAGTTTTTATATATATGAAGGTAACATTTGAATGGTAAAAAATGTTACTTACAATAGTTTTGGTCACTTCACAATAATAATGACCTCCTTAAACTTTTATATGCTTTTTTCACCTTTTTACATTACATGTTCCCTTTATCTCAAAATAAAATTTTGTATTTATTTTTCCTTTTATTTCAAAATAAATTGTATTTTACATCATAAAAAAACTTTAAAATGTTTCTTTTTCAATTTTATCCTTATTTAATTAATTTAGGTCAAAGAATTATATCTTATTCAATATATATTAAAGATAATTTGATAAAAATAACTTACTTTATGGCTACTTTTAAAATTGAAAACGAAATTGACTTACTACGAAAAGGTAAATATCATACAATTGAAGAGTATATATTATAATGAAATTGAATTTCTGCATATAAAAGACAAGAACTTTTCATGTAATGAAAATCCAACAAACTAAAGTGAAAATATGGTGTAGTGTAGTTTTAGTAGTATTTAATACTTTTGTTCTATGTATATAATTTAACTTTGAAATAAAGAAACTTTTAGATGCCTCTTTGACAATTTAACTTATTTCTCAATAGTGATGCGAGAAAGACATTAAGAAGAATTAAGTAACACAGTTTCAAATGTGGGAAAAAAAGAATAATTTTGAACAGAGTTTTATGAAATAAAAAATATTATGAATTCATATAGACAAAAATGGAGGAATATTTTAAAAAAATATAAATAGTTCTTTGTGTAATAGTATTACGTGAAAATTTTTATGGTGGTAGAGGTCCAACCAACCAAAGTTGGGTAAGGCTCCACCCATTTTTTGACACATGAATTGTGGGACCTTTCTTAATATAAAAGTTGAAAAAAATAAAAAATAAAAAAGTAAATTGTGGGGTTAACATCATTAAATATGCACTTATATTTAAGAGAGAGAAGATGAAAAAGGTTCTTGGATTTATTTTCTCTTTTACAAAGGAGCTGGAATAAAATTAAAAGTAAGCAATAAATATGCACTTGTATCTAAGAGAGAGAAGATGAAAAACGTTCTTGTATTTATTTTTTCTCTTCTAGAAAGGAGCTGGCAAAACATTAAAATTAAATAGGGACCTACAATATTAAATGTTAACTTAAATATTCACTTATATCTAAGAAAGAGAAGTTGAAGAAGCTTCTGGGTTTCTTTTGACTTCTTCAAAAGGGCTGGAAAAAGAATAAAGAAGGTGAACAAGTTTCTTTTCTCTTCTTCAAAGGACAAAAAAATATGAAGAATTATCTACATTCGAATTTTCGAAGGAGAAAAAAATCAGAAGTATCTATATACGTTTTCCAGGTACGAATTTTTCTTCATATTTCTTGAACTCTTTAATACTATCAACACTATACGTTTTCCAGGTACAAATTTTTCTTCATATTTCTTGAACTCTTTAATATTATCAACACAACTGAATTGAAGGTTGCATATATATTATATTTGACTATAGATCTCTATGGATCTTCTTGCTTGCATGTTACTTGTAATTCAAAATACAAAAAAAATATTTGTTGCATTGATTTTTATGCTTCAAATATAAAAAATTAAGATCTGCACCAAAGATTAAATTTAATTTTCTTCAAATATCTCTTTGTTTGATTGTTAACTCTACATGCAAGCTCTAAATTGTGAATTCAGATTTTGAGTCAAAAATTGAGGGAAAATACTTGATGAATCTCCATGTAACTGCATATTTGATATAGAAAAAAAACATATCAAGATTAGTATATGTATGAATACAATAATAAACAATGAAAAAATTATTTAACTAATTAAAGAGAGAACAAACCTCAAAACTTAGTCCCATAGATTCATGTTGTATTTGTTGCATTGAGACTGATTGCATGTCAAAATTTACTGTTTTTTCATGTTTTTGTCCTGTTTTGCTTTTGAATGTCACCTGTGATGTCTTTTTATTTTTTTGTTCTCACTTTTTGGCTTCATTCTTGAATATCCATTTCCCTTTCCTTTTTTCTTAATTGGATCCATTCGATCATTGGCCCCAATTAAAGGATCAACGGATGAATCAAATTTATGTCTGTTTTTATTACAATTTTCACCATACAGTTCAATTTGATGCTTAGTAATCTCAACTCTTGCTTTGTATAAATACCTTCCAGCTATGTCTTCCGAATCTATATCATTTGCAGCTAAAGTCATGACAGTAAATGATTCTTTCATTAACCCGTTCAAACGAACTGCCATAGAAGATTTTGTTGTTCCCTTCTTTTTGGAGTACTTCGCAAATCCTTTCTCATGCTTACCATTCTTTGACCATCTTTTCAAAATGTATTTCTCTGGAATAGAAGTAAAATTCAAGTCAAAGAACAAAACTTTAAGTGCATGACAACATAACCAACCCATGGATTAAAACATATGACAACTACAAATAATAGAATTGTCAAGAGCATTGAATTGAACAATTTCAGTTTTCTCACTTTCACCCTTTAAAATTGTATATTTTGTTTGGCTCCCCTGCAGTTTCAACATTGATTACTCTTTTGGTTGTCCCTTGTAGAAATTCATGTTGAAATCTTGTGTAAATTCTTCTGGTATACACCCGAGCAGCATGCTTTAATATCTCACAATCTTCAATGAAAATTTTAGGATCACCTCGAGATTTATAATCCTCTATAGCTTCAATGTCACGCATTTCAATTGTCCGTTGCTCATAATGTTTTACAAACTCCGTTATACTCATTGTCTTGCATGACATTTCAGTGAAGACTCTATTTGTGCTCGCACTTCTTTGGGTCGATTTGATATCTGCTGAGAAAGTAGAACGGCTAAATACAGGACACCATTTTTTCTCAGATCATACAACTTTTGAAGCCAAGTATTACTTGCAAAATCCCAATCATCTATCATTTTTTTCCATATTAACTCAAATTCTGATTCTGAATTGCACCTTCACAAGAGAATATCAAAGCAGTATCGAAACCCTGATTTAAAATAAAGTTGAGGTATATTTTTTTGAGCATTTCTATCACTGTGCCATTCACACAATCTATGACATGTTCCAGGAAAAACTTCCTTAATAGCAAAAGCTATGGTAGGAGCTTGATCAGTAAAGATTGTTTTTGGTGTTTTCCCTCCCATTGCTTTCAGGAATGTTTGAAAAAGCCAAACAAAAGAACCACTTGTTTCATTGCATAAAAATGCACATCCAAAGAAAGTGTTATTCCAGTGGTTATTCACAACAACAAATGGAGCACAAATCATGTCATATCTATTTGTACGATAAGTAGTGTCAAAAATCATCACATCTCCAAAACACTCGTAGTGCAATTTAGATATACTATCTCTCCAAAAGAAATTACACTATCTGCCATCTTCATTAACTTGAAAAGAATGAAAAAAGTTTGAATTCTCTGATTGTAAATGCATAAAATGATTTATCAAGGTTTGAGAATCTCCACCACTTATCATATTCCTCTTATGTGCTTGTATAAAGTTATGAGCGTCTTGTTCAATAAATCCCATATTTTCAATTCCACCAGCTTCGTTATGAAGGTATCTAACCACTTTTTTTGCTCAAATACCGACATCCACCATAGAACCAAGAATACTTTTAGTGGCACTTTAAGCTTACGACCTGATTGTAAGAAATGTTTCAAATTATCTTCTATCATTGGATGACTATTCACATCATTGAATTCACATACTTCCCACATCCCATTTGAAATTTTGAATTTTATACGAGCCATACAACCACATCTATATTCTAATCTTTGTCGTTTTCTTTCTTGAAAAAGGGAAAGCTTATCAGATTTTCCTTCACAAGCACAAAGAAATAACCGTCTAGTTACTTCTTTATTTATGTTGTAAGTCTTTGCACTTTTTCGAACACCAAAACCTTTGGCTAGCGCATATGAATTATATGCATCGTAAGATTCTTCTTCAGAATTAAATTTCATACCAATCTCAAAAGCAAAGTTCTTGTTAATGCTATAAACATTATTTGCTTTTGTAGAATATTCGTTGTCGTTAACATTGGAATCTACAATAATAATTTTATTTTTTGAGTATCAAAACATAAGAAATAGATAAAAATATAAACATTTACTTAATAGAGAACCTTCACACTCGAATTAAAGTGTATTACCTTCTTGAAGAGAAGACCCTTTATCAATATGTATATCCTCCCATTTTTTAAAATTTAAAGCAAAATCTACACAAGAAGCAAATCATATTATTAAGAAATTATATTTTTCAAATATTACCTTAGCACATAAAAATATTAAAACATGTCTTTTATTTTACTATACATTTCAAATTTAATTTAATATTATGTGATCACCATTAAATTTGAATGCAAAATCTCTTGAAATAACTAATACTAATATTTTATATGGCAAGAACTTTCTAATAAGCATGAAGATCATTTATGACAACAATGAATGATGCACAAAAGTTTACATAGATAATTGTGTCATAGAATCTTGAGCATTTTGAACAAGATAATGTAATATTCTATATTCAAGATATGTATAAAATATGTTTATCTATATGTATAATGAGGATTATCAATAAATAACTTTTTATTCTATTTAAAGCTTTAGTAAAAAAATGTAATATCATTGGACAAATAAAAGAATATGGAAAGCAAAAATAATAAAAGAAATGGTTCATAGATATGTATATTTTGTAACCTTACTTGAACAAAATTTGAACGAGAATAAAAGATTATAGATGATGTAGTTTTATTTTAGAGCAACAATGGTGTTTTTTTATCTTAGGGCTTTTACTTATTTTGTAGGCAAAGATCATAATTTAAGGAGGGAAAATAGTACTTCTTTTCCTCCATTTTTATTGTACTATATAAATGTTTATTTTAATTATTTTTATTTTGTTTCATTTGACTTTATTTGCAAAGTACACATATTGACCTACAATTCATGTGTCAAAAAATGGGTGGAGCCTTACTCAACTTTGGTTGGTTGAACTTCTGCCACCATAAAATTTTTGGTATTTATGTTAGTGTGACTAGCACCGACGTGAAGCTGCTAGTAGTGTTTGGGAACTCAATTGGAAGCAAAAAAGTAGCGGCGACTAGTGATTTTTGCAAAACTGGACCCAGCAAAGACAATGGGATGTTGACGGGAAACTAGCGCAAAGAGCAAAACAAGTGCAAGAGTCAATGGAACAGTACCCAATCTCCCCAAAGGAGTCGAAAACATGCAGATTTTGATAATAGGCCAATTATTTTGAAACAATGGTCTGCTGATTTTGATTTCATTAAAGAGTTCCTAATTACTGAAATACCATTATGGGTTAGTTTTCCCAATTTGCCTACGAATTGCTGGAGTTGCAACTCTCTAGCCGCATTGCCAGTGCTATTGGAAAACCTATATATACCTATGAGTGTAACACCAAACAAGCTATAGACAAAGCTCAGACAAAGAAAAGACTTTTATGAGGGATAATAACGAAGAATTAAGTCTTACTGATGTTGTGATGGCTCAACCCACTATAGCAGAACAGAATGAGTTGATTCTGCAGCTCATGCAACATATTGCAGAGATGAGGGTAGACATACAAAGGAGACAAGATCTGCCTCCGAAAGGTTTTGTTGCTAATGCTATTGATGGGAGACCTCCAATCTACTTCCCTTCTTCAAATAAGGATCCAGCCTAGAACTAGCCATCTTCACCTGCTTAGAATGCGTCGGTTATAGAACTGACAATCCAAAATCCCCAATATGCTTTCGCATCCTACCAAACTCCACCCCTCCTCAAAACAACCATCCCCAAATGCCACCCCATCCTCACAATACCCATCATCAAACCGCTCCACCACCGCAAAACCAAAACCAAAATCAAAACCAAAATACTTTCAATCCCCAAACACCCCACCACCATTAAAACCAGAATACCAATCCTCAGACTTTCCCACAAAATTATTAAACCGCTCAAAATATCCAGAGTCCCTATGTGGCTCCACTCTTACCTAAAAGAACCACTTTCAAAATTTCAGTCCCTGTCGAGCATGATGTGCACGGTTCTGAGCTGGACCATTATGAGGAACATGAAAGGGAATGGAAGGAAAAGGAAGAGGCAAATGTGGACATAAAAGAAGAGATCAAGAAGGCTATGAAAGAGCTTCAATGCGTCCCTGATACCTCTGGATATAACTATGAAGATTTGTGCATTCATTCGAGTCTGGACCTTCCAGAAGGGTTCAAGATCCCGATGTTTGACACCTTCAAAGGAGTGGGCAACCCTATGGCTCATCTGAGAGCCTACTGTGACCGGCTCGTGGGAGTTGGAAGGGATGAAGCTTTATTTATTCGGCCCTTCAGCCGAAGTTTGAGCTGGAAAAATCTGGAGTGATTCACCTCCCATGAAACTTGATAATGGCCCAGCAGGAATGCTCTAGCAAAGGATTTTATCGATCGGTTCGGATATAATGTCGAAATCATTCCTGATCGATATTCTTTGGAGAAGATGAATCCAAAATCTACCGAGAGCTACAAAAAATTTGCTTATAGGTGGAGAAAGGAAGATGCAAGGGTCAGACCACCTATATTAGAAAAGGAAATTGTGAAGTGTTCGTGCAGGTGAAAGAGTCCGAGTATTATGATCGAATTATGTTGCTCGTAGGAGCAAAATTGCCAAGATAGTCAAAGTTGGTGAGACTATCGAAGATGGGAAAGATAGCCCGTGTTTCTGCATCACCCGGATCATCAGGAACATGGAAGAAAAAAAGAGAATAAATCACTTCTATTTTATACGAGGGAAAAAAACCCCCAGAAGCTCATCATATTCCCAAGGTCGTTCTCGACTTTCCCAAAATTCCTACCAAGCTTGCTACACGCAAGCTAGTAATCCCAATAATGCTCCAATTTATCAAAATGCTACCGCCACTTATCCAAACGTCCAAGCTCCACTATACCAAAGTCCACCCCCGAATTACCAATATCCATCTCCCATTTACCCAAATCATCATCCACCATACCAAATTCCATCTCCCTACCAGGGTCTTGTTCCCAACTGTGCTAACGTACAGTCGAGCTACCGAGCACCCCCTCCTTAGTATCAAGTCAAAGCTCCACCATATCAAACTCCCCACTCGAACTACCAAGCTCCAACGCCAAACTATCAAACAAATTCATATCCGAGAAATCAAGCTCCCCGTCCAAACAATCGAGGTTATCAACAGATGCCTTCCCCACAAAGAAGTTATGATCCCCCTCGACCTCGATTCGAGAAGAAACCTTTAAGAAATCTCACTACGCTCCCAAAAAGTTGAACAAAGTTGTACGAGCGACTAGCTGCAGCCGAATATATCCACCCAGTGGGACCCAAACCTATGGATATCAATTTTTTGAAATTCTATAGGCCATATCAGAGATGTGCTTATAATCCCAATAGTGTTGGGCATGATACTGAAGACTATATCAATGTCAAGCACAAGATTCGGGATTTAATTGACCAAAAGGTGGCTTCAAAAATATCTTTTACTCCATGACCAATACCCAGTTGGTCCTATACATGCGCCCCCCCCTCCCCGAATAATTACCATGTAACTGTTCGCTTTAAAACCGAAAATGGATTCCATAGAATTCACTAGAATCTAAGAAATGATCAAATTAGAAAATCATTTCTATATTTCTATTTTGATTCTATAAAAATGCAAGTTTCATTTTTGAATGAAGTTAGACGATACAACTCCTATTAGTTTAATTGTTCATCCAAGAGTTACTCAATGAATCAGTTGATTGGAATTGCATGATGGATAGATGTTACAGATGATGAATCAATTTCTTTCAACCATCTACACCTAATGTCAATACCAATCCTTTGTTGAATCATGGAAGCGGCAACGTTAGTATGATAGAAACAGACGATGATTGGTGTGGGACAAAAGTGATAAATCCAATCGTTTCATGACAAGTTAGAAAAGGTTGTATCTTCCATGAGCATCAAAGAAAAGAAAGAGTTCGTTATCTTGACACCTGTATAGGTTGTTGCCTTGGTGTCATAAAAAACTCTTATCAAGCCAAATTTTGTGATTGATACTGTTGCTGCACAAGGTATGACCCAATCTGGATAATGTTATACTCCCGAGGAGCTTGCTCTCGGAGGTCAAAAAAGGATCAAGCTGAAAGGCCAATAAGCGAGTGTGAGACAGAGCCATATTTGAGAAGAATGCAGCCGAAAGATTATTCTATTGTCAAGCATTTGGAGAATACTCCAGCCCAGATTTTTATATGGGCCCTGCTGATGAGTTCTCAATCGCCAGACAGACTTTGATGAAAGCTCTCGATGATACGTATGTACCCGCGGGCACAAGCAGCGATAATGTGGACGCTATCATCCACCAGGTTATTCGAAGGCATCGAATCAACTTTTGTGATGAAGAGTTGCCTTTTAAAGGGAGGTCCCATAATAAGGCACTGCATATCACTGTCGTCTGTCGCAAAAAGGTTGTCAATCACGTCTTGGTAGATGATGGATCTGGATTTGAACATCTGCCCATTTTCGACGCTAAGGCAGTTGAAGTTTTACTTGGGGAAACTTGAGGAAAATCAAGTCAACGTGAGAGCCTTCGATGGGGTTCTAAGAGACACCTTGAGAGCCATAAATCTGGTTATCCAATTGGACGCTGCGAGTTTAGCGCACACTTTCAAGTCCTAGATATCGACACCAGCTACAACCTTCTTCTAAGTTGGCCTCTTATTTACATGGCTTGAGTTGTGCCTTCTACCCTACATCAAATGATGAAACTCGTTTGAAAGAACGAAGATCTACTCATTCATGGAGAAGGTAGTCATTCTGGTAGACATAGACCTATTATTGATGAAGTGTCTGGAGGTACTGATTTCTACACGATGGAGTTGGTAAATGCCACCAATGAAGACTAAGCCCCACAACCTCTAATGCCTTCTATGTATAAGATGATTGCTACTGTGATGTTGCAAAGTAGATTTGAAGCAGGTTTTGGATTGGGAAGGAATTCCCAAGGAATTGTTGAGCCCATTCAAGTTCCTGTCAAAGGGACAAGGTATGGATTGGGGTACGTCCCCACAGATGATGATGAGAAGACAAAGAAGAAGAAGTATCAAGCATTGGCCAAGTCAATCCCTCGTCTATATCAATCCTTCCCAGTCCGTGAATATGACGAGCAAGAGAACCTTGGGGAAGGAATCTGTGGACTTTTTGAAGAGATCGATGCTATCATTGAAGAAGAGGTCGAGATGACAAGATTCCGTGATGCTGAGGTAGGAGAGATGGTACAGAACTGGACCTCCACGTCCATACTGATCCCCTGAACTCCTTGGTAGAAGGGCATCATTTTATGCATATTTAAATCGGTGGTAGTCCAGAAGAGGCCTAAGACCTACCATTTTGCATTTTTTAACTGTTTAAATTTTAAATTTTCCATCTTGATGTTTAAGAAGGCAACATGGCCCTATGCCATGGGCAAAGTTTGCACTGTTTTTTCCATTTAAAAAAAAGCCTATTTTATTTTGAAATTTGTTTATTCACTCATCTGTTATACTTTGCTTTCCTAACTTTGTTTGTTTATGATTTCAGTAACGTAAGTTTAAAACCTACCAATGTCATGTCATGTCACAAGATGAATGAACAAAATGAGGCAGGTGATGACGAGGTTGATGATTACAAAGAGGAAAGTGAGGAACTAGAGTATGTTGCCAACGAATTTCAGTAGTTTGAAAATCAGCATAAGCCGAATCCAGAAAAAATGGAAACGGTAAATCTGGGAAACCCAAAGTGCATTAAAGAGGTTAAGATCAACATTCACTTAAATGAAACTAAAATAAAAGACCTAATTTATTTGTTTGTTGAATATATTGATGTGTTCGTCTGGGAAGTCGGTGACATGCAAGGGCTGAGTACCAATATTATATCTCATAAACTGCCGATTGATCCGAGGTTCGATCCGATGAGGCAAAAGGATCGGAAGTTCAATCCTGAATTGAGTTTAAAGATCAGAGAAGATATCACCAAGCAGATGGAGTCTCGATTGGTGGAAGTGACACAATACCCGACTTTGTTTGCCAATGTTGTTTCGATTTCTAAGAAGGACGGGAAGATCAAAATTTGTGTCAATTATAGAGATCTCAGCAAAGCTAGCCCAAAGGATAATTTTCCATTGCTGAACATTCATATTCTGATTGATAATTGTTCTAAGCATGAAATGTAGTCATTTGTGGATCGTTATACATGTTATCACCAAATTCTGATGGACGAAGAAGACGCAGAAAAGACAACTTTTATTACACATTGGGGTGTATATCATTACAGAGTGATGTCATTTGGCCTAAAGAATGTTAGTGTTACCTATATGAGTACTATGGCGACCATATTTCATGACATGATTGATAAGGAGATGAGGAGTATGTGGATGACATCATAATTATGTCCCACGAGAGTTCGGACCACTTAACACATTTGAAAAAGTTTTTTGATCATTTGCGTCGGTATAAGTTGAAATTAAATCCCGCAAAATATGCTTTTGGAGTACCAGTCGGCAAGTTATTGGGATTTATAGTGAGTAGAAGAGGTATTGAGCTCGATCCTTCCAAGATTAAGGCGATTCAAGAGTTTCCTTCGCTGAAGACTAAGAAGGAGGTGATGAGTTTCCTGGGGAGGCCGAACTACATCAGTCGATTCATAGCCCAATCAAATGTGGTGTGTGAGCCTATCTTCAAGCTGTTGAAGAAAGAATTAAGAATGTCAGACTGATTTTGATGCTATAAAGAAATATTTGTCCAATCCACCGGTATTGGTTCCTCCGTGAGAAGGGAATCCATTGTTGCTGTATTTGTCCGTCTCAGATAGTGCATTTGTATGCGTACTTGGTCAACACAACGAGACAGGAAAAACAGAAAAGGCTATCTATTACATAAGCACGAAGTTTACTCCATACGAATTTCGTTACACTTTGTTAGAGATCACGTGTTGTGATTTGACTTGCTTGCACTGAAGTTGAGACATTATCTATCTTCTTATACTACATACCTCATTTCCAGAATGGACCCGCTGAAGTATATCTTTCAGAAAGCGATGTCGATCGGAAAATTAGCTAAATGACAAATGTTGTTGAGCGAATTTGATAATGTGTATGTGACTCAGAAGGCGATAAAGGTACATGCCTTGGCTGATCATTTCGCAGAAACTCCCGTTGACGAAAAATATCAGTTGTTCAAGACTTATTTTCATGATGAAGAAGTGTCATTTGTGGGTGAAGATATTTCTGAAGCGTACCCAGGTTGAAGATTATTCTTTGATGGAGCGTCCAATCACCAAGGGAAAGGTATTGGAGCAGTTTTAGTGTCAAAATCTGGTCAACACTATCCCATGGCGGCTAAACTCTGATTTAATTGCACGAACAACATAACCGAATACGAAGCTTATATTCTTGGTTTGAAAATGGTTGTTGACATAAATGTCCACGAACTATTGGTCATCAAAGATTCAGATCTGTTGATTCATCAAGTTCAGGGAGAGTGGTCCATGAAGAACCTCAAGATTATACCTTACGTACAGTATGTATAAAAGTTGAGCAAAAGATTTCGCAAGATTGCATTCAGACACACTCCCAGAATACAGAATGAGTTGGCTGATTCTCTCACAACCATTGCTTCTATGATTAAACATCGAGATAATAATTATATCGATCATATGGATATAGAGCTGAAAGAACATCCATTCCATTGTTCACATGTTGAAGCAGAACCAGACGGTTTGCCATGGTATTTCAATATAAAGAAGTATTTGGAGTTTGGGATTTATCCTGATGATGCTATGTCCAACCAGAAGAAGTCAATATGTCGTATGGCTCTCAATTTCTTTCTAAGTGGAGAAATGTTGTATAAAAGGACCCAAGATTCAGGTCTCTTCAGATGTGTCGATGTTGTTGAAGTTGCAAAGTGGATTGAATATATACACGCTGGACTTTGTGGAACGCATATGAATGGGATCACTTTGGCAAGAAAGATCCTTCGATCCGGTTATTTCTTGATGACTATGGAGAATGATTATTGCAAGTTTGTGCAAAAATGTCATAAATGTCAAGTGCACCATGATTTGATCCGAGTGCCACCTCATGAACTTAATGTTATGAGTTCACCTTGATCATTTGTAGCTTGGGGTATGGATTTCATCGGTCCGAAAGAGCCAACCTCTTGTAATTGACACAGATTTATTTTGGTTACCATTGATTATTTTACCAAGTGAGTAGAAATAGCTTCTTACAAGTCGGTAACCAAGAAAGTTGTGGCTGATTTTGTTTGCAACAATCTGATATGAAGGTTTAGAGACCAGAATCCATCATTACTAATAATGGTATGAATCTTAACAATCACTTGATGAGAGATATATGTGAGCAATTTAATATCACTTACCAAAACTCAATCGCTTATCGTCCTCTTATGAATGGACCGTAGAAGTTGCCAATAAGAATATCAAGAAGATTTTGAGGAAAATAATTGACAATCATCGGGGTTGGCACGAGATGTTGTCATATGCTTTATTGGGTTATCGGACGACTATCAGAATGTTGACTGGAGCTACCCCATACTTGCTAGTGTATGGAACAACAATCATACCGGCTGAAGTGGAGATACCATCTTTGAGAATTATTCAAGAAGTTGAGTTTAGTAATGTTGAATGGGTTAGAAAGAGAACTGATTAGTTAACTTTGATTGACGAGAAGAAAATGGTTGCCGTTTTTCATGGTCAATTTTATCGATAGAGAATGATTCATGCTTTCCACAAGAGAGTCAGAGCTAGAACTTTTGAAATTGGTCAGTTGGTCCTTAAGCGCATTTTTCCTCATCAAGACGAGTACAATGGAAAAATTGCACCAAAATGGCAAGGTCCTTACATGGTTCGCAAAGTATTATTTGGAAGTGCTCTGGTCCTGTCGGATATGGATGCACCGCATGGTCGAAACCAATCAACTGAGAAGCTGTCAAGAGATACTACGTGTGAAGCTTTATTTTGCTTTTCTTTTATTTCCTTGTAATCGTTCTATTTTTTGTATTCTCTTTTTTTAAAATTTATATCCCTTTGTAATGAACTATGTATGACCTGAATTCTCAAGAATGAGATACATAGGCAGCCTATGTTGGCATCGGTCACCTCTTTCATCCCTTTAAATATTTATTTGAATTTGAACTATGTTCGATGTGAACTCTCAAAAATGAGATACGTAGGCGGTCTATTGTCGGTCTCGGTCGGTTTCTTTGTAAATGCCTTATTATTGTCAACCTTGAGAGGAACTGTGTTTGACCTGATTCCTGCCTCAAGGGGATATTTAGGCACCACAAGGGTTCGATAATATTTCCCATAAGATTTCTATTCCTCTTTATAATAGAAACTAGGACAGAATTTTTGAGAGGGACTCAAAAGTTCCCGAGAAGAAGATTTTTCCTTAACACGTCAAGACTGAAGATGCTTCAGAATTTTCTACTGGGATAGAATTTTTGAGAGGATCTCAAAAATCCCAAGATTTACTTGCTGACAATTGAAGATAAGACTTAACTTGTAACTGGGACAGAAATTTTGAGGATGACCTCAAAATTTCAACACGATTTATCAACAGTCTAGGGTGGCTTTGAATACTCCCCATTGAATAATCAGATGTACCTCAAAACACGAGGCTCAAAGGAGTTCGCTAAGCCTGACGGACATGACACTTGTCAGTGATCTTTTTTCAAAACACTACTTTTCGACAATTTATTTTCCTAAAGATTTTTCTTTTATGTTTTATTTGTTTTGACATAAAATAGTTAGTCTTATCTATCAAAAGTTGGGAGATCGGTAAATCAAACGGAGATAGCAGGACAAGGAGAAGATGATCGAAGGAATCAACACAAATCAGTTCCTTTTAAAAACTAACAATTTTACTGTGAACGCAGGTTTATAGCTTTGCTCTGAAATCAGCAAATTCTTCCAATGGATGAATATGGAGAAGTCAAAGGAGGATAAAATTATCCCAAAATCAATAGTTTTCCTAGAAGCAGGAATCATTTTATATTGCTTATGTCGGAGACTTGGGAATGTTAATTGTTTATTTTAATCAATTTCCAACAACATGAAATTTATAAAGAACGTCCAGCTAGATTCTAAGGTGAATCAATTGAAAGCATCAAGGAAGAGTTTACGATTTCCGTAAAGGACGTCATTTCCATCATAATATCAGATATGATATTATGCATTACCTGGAAGGGTTAGTTATTTCATTGTCGATCAAGACGATATACTATCTGGAAGTCGTTTTACGGTTATCATCATTGGAGACGATATGACTATCCAGAAAGCACCCAAAAGATCATTATGTTGCTCGATTGAAACACTATCTTCATTAGTACCAAGGATGACATCAAGAAATAAAATCAATGCATTGGAGGAGGATAGTCATGCCCTGCGGAAGATCATGCATCGCGAGTCAATATCAATGCATTGCGTAAGATCATGCATCGCGAGTCACTATCAATGCATCGTGGAAGATCATGCATCGCGAGTCAATATCCATGCATCGTGGAATATCATGCATCGCGAGTTAATTTCCATGATACGCAGAAAATCATCCATCGCGAGTCAATATTCATGTATCGCGAGTTAATATCCAAGCATCCTAAGACGATTTCATACCTCACAAAAATTTATGCATCGCGAGAAGATTTTATACCTCACAGAAATTTATGCATCATGAAAAGATTTCATACCTTGTAAAAATTTATGCATCACGAGAAGATTCCATGCCTCGTTGAAATTTATGCATCGCAAGAAGATTTTATACCTCGCAGAAATATATGCATCGCGAGAAGATTTCATACCTCATAGAAATTTATGCATCGTGAGAAGACTTCATACCTGCTGTAGAAATTTATGCATCGCGAGAAGATTTCATACCTTGCAGGAATTTATGCATCGCGAGAGGATTCATGTCTCATAGAAAATCTATGCATCATGAGAAGATTTCATACCTCGCAGAAATTTATGCATCTCGGGTAGATATTCATGCCCCGCAAGAAGTCATGCACTGTCAGAAAAGGAATTCGTGCATTCCAAGAGAAATATTTATCCATCGACATCAGATGCATTCTTTTATTTTGATAAAAGTAAACATTAAGAAGCGCATCGAAAACGACGTAAAGAGAAATACTAGCACACCACATCAACTTTCCTTCATGTTGACATCAAATGAAGAATACATTGAAGATTATATTGCAAACACAAGATATAAGCTTTATTTGATTTATGTCAAACTAATCGAGTTGATGTCAAATGTCGAGGAGAACAATTAAGTGTCTACATGGTAAAATACACTCTCCCATATTAATTGCATTTTTATGCTGACGAGTTTTATCTTAGTTTTTGTCGAGAGCATCCGAAATGACGAATTCTCCAAAACATACCACAGGTGCAGACGACATCAAAAGGATGCAGCACAACGTGAACTTTTTTCTTAGCAGCGAACTGGGACATAGACCAAAGAGGAGTGTCAAACTCTTAGGAAACGAGAAGAAGAGAGACTTCCTCCACAATCAAACTACACCCATATTAGAAGGCATGCGGGTTTTCTTCGGTTGTTTTCAGTTTTGGTCTCGCATCCAGAGAAATTTTGGTGTCTGCTGGAAGCAAGTTTCCAATCTAAGTGGTAGTGCGCCAAGAGCTTTGGAAGTTATGTTCGTATAAGTTGTTAACTATGGGTGTGAAGTGCGCCACATTCACGGCTAAGAGGTTACAAGCCTTTTTTTCATATTGGATTCTATTTGTCACTCATCTAGCCCAAAGGTTATCTAGCATAAAATAGATTTCCTTTACAACCAATCAAGTCGAACTACAAGCACCCTGATTCACAAGATTTAAGAATATGTAGGTGAGCTCAACGTTGAAAACTCGGTTGTATTCCAATATTTTCTCTTAAATCCTATTTTCGGGCATTTCGATCCCTTCATATTTCTGTATCGAGATGGCTTTGCACTTTTCAAAATCATGCATTGAATCGAGCGTGTCAAACTGCAAGTGGTCCGAGTTCTCATATAACCTGAGATATGTAGGAAATCCATTTCAAGGGTTCGACCATAATTTCTTAAAGTCCGTACAAAATCCTCTTCTTAAAGATAAAATGTGGTCGGTCAAAATTGTCTTGGTGAATTTCATTTTCCTCGAATTTCTTGCATCAATCCAAGTAAAACGAGGGACAGTTGTTGACACCCAATTTTTTAACTTTCCCCAATATAAATTAATTAACGAGCTTCTTAGTTTCCAAATGACTTAGAATTATTAGTGTTATAAAATGCAAAATATTTCACAAGTTCATTTTAAATAGTTTTGTCATTAGTTTTTAAATTAGATAATACATATGTTTTGCGTAATTATATATAGGAAGGAATAATACATTTTATGTTTCTTTTAAAATCGCCTCAAAAGGTTTATCTTGTTTACATAATTTACTAATTAGTTGATTCATATAATAGTTTACACTTTCGAACTAGTTGCTTTATAAAATAAATCAATCATTCTATTTTGTTAAAATTAAGAAGCCTATTAATTAATTTATATTAATTTACCTCAGCGGAATTCGCCCTGTGATTTAATGTGGTCATTTAATTGATCATTAAAGAAAAAAAATCATATTGGGCTGTTGTTTTTAAAACTATTAGCAGCACAATTCTTTTGGATGCTCCAGAAAATCCCCAGGCCCAATTTCGAGCCATGAAATTTTCATAGTATTCCCAGGCCACTTTTCCATTTTCCTTTCAAATTCAGCAGCCAAACACCTTTTAATCCCATTTTTATACAGCAGCAAATCAACCTAATGGTTTTTTCAAAAAATTGTCCCCCTTTGTTTTTTTTCTCGGCCCAGGCCCATTTGCCATTAACCCCAGCCAATGTATTTTTCCAGACCCGACTTAAATTCTCTCTCAATAGAAACAACCCAGGAGCTCGCTACGTGAACATCAGACACGACGGCTATGTATTCACGTCATCTTCCTCCGCAGTGTTGAAATATAGAACTCCAAGAAGAAATAAAATTTGAGTTTGGCGCGTGAGACACGTGATTCCCAACAGCGACGATGATACACAACGACCCTAAATGCAGAGCAACCAATGAATGACGTTTGTCTTCTTCCTTGGATGTCCCTTTTGATTTGTACGCATCCAAATTTGGCAGCACCTTTCAACACACAATTTTGTCCTTGGTAGCGTGAGATGGGGACACGTAGCTCCCCAAGGACATCAGACTTGATCCACTCGTCCATCGATCTTTCCCTTTCAAGGACAGATTCAGATTGGCTGAAAAGGAATCTCCCTATTTTTGGGGAAATTTTTTTGAATTTGAATGTGATGGGCTTTGAATCCGTTACTTCTCACTTTTTCTCAGTTCACTCGAACCCTAAAATCACTCTATATAAACTTTCCTTCCTCCTATTTTTTAAAGGGGCCAACCAACGTATATAAAATAATAGCTTACAAAAAAATCCAATATAAAAATAGTCACAGAAGACACTCAGAAAAAACATTCGAAGAGGAAAGGGGCTGCTTATGTTTAGCTTCATTCTTGCAGTTCGTTGGGATTCATGAAGTTTGGGTGTGGTGTGGGAAGAACTCATTGTCCCGCTCTGCTCGTCACCCGTCTCATTTTGCTGCTCCGAGTAAGGTAAAATATTCATAACCTCTCTGGTTTTCTTTCAAATTACTTGCTTCGGCTGAACATGTAATATCGTATGCAATAAAAAATGAGCTTGTGTGATGTATTCAGAGTTATATCTTTCTTGTTTAAAGTAGCTGTCGTGTTCATTTCTATTTTTGTTTCTTTAGTGACTCAGTGTTTGTATAAGCTCATATCACTGAGTTTCATTTTCTCCAAATTCATCAGTGTTGCTCATTGTAGGTTTATATGGCCTGTTTCGATTAAATCATTTCTCCTTGAACTGATTTCTATATTTAAATCATTAGAACATCTAAATAAATAAAGTTTAGCTCTACTGTGGTTTTCTTGTGGCATAATGAAAGTCTTTTTTCTCATTTTGTGTAGTCCCCTGTTTTTTTAAGTATTTTCGACTACTCAAGGGTATAACATGATGTTTAAAGGCTTCCAAATTGTGTTTGCTAGTTTGTTTTGGTGCTGTTAAGATTGATGTTGTTTCAATGTGTTTAATATCAAGTTAAAAGTTTTGGATATTTTGCTACTACTTTCCTGTTATTTTGTTTGAAGCCTTATTTGGATAATTTCTCTTTCAGAGCTTATTTCATTAATGTCGACAAATTGATTTCACCGTATAATATTGACTCCATATCTTTCATTACTTTACCCCTAGTCGTACTAAATAATTAAGGTGTCACATTCGGGATCACGTGTTGGGTTTTATAGACCCACAATCATTCTTTTTTTTCTTTCTCTTCTACTCATAATGTTGCTTTCAAATATTCTGGGTCGATTTTCTATATCCTACGCTTTCAGATTTTGTGACAAAAGATTTATGCTAGTTCAAGTTTAATGTAGGTAGTGGTTTGGTGTGCTCAAGTCTTAGTGTCCAACAAAAGCCAGGTGTTCCCCACCTCTCCTTAGTTTGTCTGCGCTACTTCTTTGAGTTGGGAGTATTTAATTGTGTTATGTCTTTCTTTTATTTTCTATTCCTCCTTTCGTTATTGTGCTTTATGAATACTAATTCATGTGGAAAATTAAATTGTGCCTCCCTGCCCACTCATTCAATGTTAGCAATTAATTACTTCCACATGCCCTTCCCCACTCACCAGATGCCCATCATGCATTAAATTTTATCTGTTTGTTTTAAGGTTGTTTAAATAGAACTCCTTTTGACATTGAAAATTGTTCATTCTCTCAATTTTCCTTCTTTTAATTAGAATAGTCCTACTTCCAGTGATCCACTACTTGTTTGGTATCAATCATATAGACTTTTCTTTTGTTTTCTATTTACTTTCATTCGAATAATATGATTAGGTTTCGGAACCTCTTTAAACTCTAAGTATTTGTGTGTTTCTTTTTTCGCATATGGACACGCCAAGTTATTGGTTACTGTGATTTTTAATGTATTGAAATTTTCATCATCTCGTATTAATGTCTTTTTATTTTGTTTGGCATGTTAAATTTGCTCCCAATT